TCGAAAAGATCAACCTAGAGTTCGACCGCACTACCAAATGACTTCATCTTCGATGTTGCAGGGAGTAGTTCAAAGATCCAAAATGTGACGGCAGTGTTGCTCGTTGAGGCTTATGGCCAGAAAATCACTCAAAGCTTCAATCCCTGTGATGAGGCAACGAAAGTCGATCAACTATGCCCTGGTACGTTAACTAGATTTATTGACTTGATTGGTATATCTCATATTAACTCATGTCTGTCTACAGTTCCTGCGGGACGATTTATGGCCAAAGGAAGTCAAAAAATTCCTTCCAAGTTCGCAGAGAAAATCCCATCCATCGCGTTTGCAATTCCCGACCTCCAGGCACACGCGACCATGCTCTTAAAATCGAATGACGGAGGTCAGACTCTTGCTTGTATCAGTTCAACTGTAGGCAATGGCAAATCATTAGAGGCACCCGCGGTATCATACGCCGCGGCTGGAGTCGTAGGGGCTGCCTTGGTATTGTCAGGCGCCGCAGCTTTGGTGGCAGGTGGGCATCCCGGTGCTGCTACATCAAGCCCGACATTCGGTGAGGTTGTTGGGTGGTTTCATTCGATGGCAACCAACGGCATGCTTAGCGTCAACTACCCGCCGATCTACCGCAGCTTCACCAAAAACTTTGCGTTCAGCACCGGGCTGATTCCTTGGAAACAAATGCAGATGTCGATTGACGATTTTAGAAATAAGACCGGGGGCAATCTGACAAACGACAATGTCCAATTCCTTGAAAATGCTACGCTTATATTTGACGAAGGGTCTGGTACCTCGAGTAATGTAAAACGTTCATGGAATTCCATTTTCAATTCTGCCGGTATTGCGGTTCGGGAGATATCCACGTCGATCAATGAGACATCCACAGCAGGTGGCACTGAGGACGAGGGCGGCATTAATCATGTTGTCAAGGGAATCCAGGCATACGTCGAAATGCTCTCGGTTCCGAAATCTAATACCTTTCATGACAGTGCTGTTGATATTTGCTATCGTCGTTGCGGCCATTGCTGTTGGTATATTGCTCTTCAAGGTTATTCTTGAGGTCTGGGCTATGTTTGCATCTTT